TCAAAAGGATATGTTGAAATCTTCATCCCAAGGACCTTATTTGGAAACAGAGCCTTTACAGATGTAATCAAGTTAAGATGAGGTCATCAGAGGGGGCCTAATCCAGTATGACTGGTATGCTTAAGAGAGAAGAGACACAGACACACAGGGAAAATACCATGTGAAGATGCAGACAGTGGTGGAAATGGTGTATTTCTAAGTCAAGGATTGCCTGCAACCTCCAGAAAGGAGGAAGAAACAAAGATGAAGCCTTCCTTTAAAACCTTCAAGGAAAGCATGGCCCTACAGACACTCTGAGCTTCTAGTATTGCAAGGGAATAGAATGCTATTGTTTTAAACCATTCAGTTTGTGGTAATCTATTATGCTGTTGTTGCTATGTGCTACTGAGTCATAATCAACCCATAGCTGAACCTTCTGCGGGTTTTCAGAGGCATTTAATCTCAAGAGAGGAGACTGTCCATCTTTCCACCACAGAGCTGATGGCAGATTCAAATTGCATGCCTTCAGGATCTCAACACAGCCTCTTATTACTAGGCCAGCAGAGCTCCCTTAAATCTGTTATATTGTTGTTGTTGTGTATCGTTGAGTCGGAACTGACCCATGGCTGACCCTCTGGTAGGTTTTCAGAGGCAGTTAATTGCACACGAAGAGACTGCCCATCCTTCCCCTGCGGAGCAGCTGAGAGTCAAACCGTGTGCCTTCGGCATTGCAGCTCAGCTTCTTACCACCAGGCTACCAGAGCAGTTCTAAAAAACTAACACAAGCTTTTATTTTTTTAAAATAAAATTTTCTTTTAAAAAGATTGTGATTTTAATTAAAGTTTACAGAAAAGTTAGATTTTCATTCATTCATTGCACATTTTACCTCCCCTCCTTCCTTTCCCCCTCCCCTAGTTCACTTTAAAAAAAAATATTCATTCCTTGTCGCACAATTACTTACCTCCTCACCCTAATTCTCTTTACAATTATGTACCTCTTATTCTGGGCTGTTGTTGTATATATATAACGCCTAATCATATATTCCTTTTAAACAGTTCTTTCCCTCATCTGTTCCAAGCCTTTCATTTTATCTCTTATTAACACATTTTTTTTTTCAGCAACTGCATTAAAAAGTTACACTAATTGCTCAAATAGAATATATTAAGCTTCTTGGACATTCTAAGTGCAGCTAATTAGAAAAGCTATTAAATTAGGAAACTAGGAACTTACAGAACACAAAGACAGAATCAAGAAAGATCCCACCTAGAACACCACTCACTGATACTCGTATTTCCCTAATGCTTCCTTTCACATGAATTTGAAGCTAGCAGTCAGAGTGACGTTAAAAATAAACAAATCCGCTTATGTCACTCTATTTCATGAAGTCCTTCAGGGGTTTCTCATGTCATCAAGAATAAAATCGAAGCTGCTTATGGGCCTCACACCTCTGCTCGCCTGAGAGCTGGTGGACATCTACTCCCTCCTCTGATACCACTCCTCTCCTTGCTCACTATGCTCCAGCCTTACAAGTTCTTTCTTTCCTTCCCTTCTCGCCTCTTGCAACTAATTCCAATGACAGTAAAATCTGTGTTGAGTCAGAAGTGGATGGAATTGCCTTGTTTTTCCATATTTCACAAGTTTTCAGCCTCTAGCAGATGCAGACTTACCGCTTCTCTGTCACTTGTTTCAGTGGAAAGCTTGAGCCTTCTGCTTTTCTGGCAGGCTTCTCCTTACACAGCTTCCAACTTTCACAGGTTTTACTTTCTACCTATTCAATAGTTACTATATGAAAATCTCTTTGCATTATTATCTCATTCAACCATCACAAGGGATTTGGAGATGCAGTTATCTTCCTATTTTACAAGTGAAAAAAGTAAGCTCAGAGATTAAATGATTTATTCAAAAGAGAGGTATTCTGTGGCACAGCCCCACCTCAGTTTCTTCAGATATGCCAAAGTCACTCCTCCGTCATGTTCTTTGTACTCGCTGCCCACTCGTCTAGGAATGCTGCTCACCGAGCTACCACAGAGCAGGCTCTTTCACAGTTTCCGAATCTTAGGTTCAATTTTTCTCAAAGAAACTCCTCTGATTGTTTTAGATGTCATGGAATCAATTCCAAGTCAGGCTCACTGCTGTAGAGCAGGAACCAATTCATAAGTGACCCTTCAGGCTGTAAACTGCATAGGAGGAGATAGTCTATCTTTCTTCAGCAGAGCCACTGGCAGATCCAAACTGCCAGAGAGGTGCCAACTTTGGGTTAGGAGCTTAAGTCTCTATGCCACCAGAGCTCCCTTCAATTTCAAGTCGGTTACCACTATTCTCTATGACAGCATATTCTTTTATGAAATATTTCTTTTCTTGTGTATTGACTGTCTTCCTCAATAGGCTTTAAGCTCTAGGAAGAGAGAGAATGTTTGTTTTGCTAGTTGCTGTCATGTCAATTCTGATTCAGGACAACCCATCCATTAGGAGATCACAAGAAAACAACACCACCACCCCAACAGTTTATTTAAAGGAAAATGGAAGAAAGTTCTGATGGTGATTAGCAATGCTTTCCTCTGGAATAATTTCTGCTCAATCAGCTAATGTCTCAAATGAATGCTCTAAATTCCAGAACCTGACACAGGACACACAGTCTTCAATTTCTATTTGGTAAATGAATGATTGAGGAAGAAGATGAGTCGCAGGCTTCAAGATAACACAACTTTGTCTAGAATTAGCATCAATACACATTTTTACGGGGAAGAAAGATAGGAAGACTTTTCCCATGCAATTTAAAACCTTGAAAACCTAACAGAGGGTCAGGTACGAGTTTCTAATGTAACAGAAATAAGAGACCCTTTTTACTCATTAGAGAGTTGAAAAGGACATTGTATAATGCAAACCATCACTGGGCTTCATATCCTTAAACAAGTCACTGAAGAGCTCCAACTCTGAATCTGCACATTGAAAAATGAGAACTATACCACCTTCTTTACTATTTTCCTTTGTTTTTATGAGGGTTATAGATAAAGTAAGCAAAATATACTTCATACAAACTCATAACTGTAGAGTCAGAACTGACTCATAGCTGATCCATGAGTGGGTTTTTGAAGGCCTTAAATCACACAGGAGGAGACTGCCCATCTTCCCTGCCACAGCTGCTGGAGGATTCCAAGCACCAGAGAAGGACAGACTTTGGGTTAGCAGTGCAATTCTTTAAAGCTCCATCCCACACACTTTGATCATATCACCAGGAGGGACCAGTCCTTGGAGAAGGACACATCCTGGAAAAGGTAGAGGGTCAGAAAAGCAGAAGAGGAAGACCCTAGATGAGATGGGGTGACATTGCGACTCTGGCAATGGGGACAAGTGTGTTAAACATGGTGAGGCTGGCTCACGATAGGTCAAGGTTCAGAGCGATTGTTCATAGGGTCATTATGAATCGTACTCAACTCAATGGCACATAACAACAACAGGTCCCACAAGAAAGCTATGGTGGCCTAGTGGGTAAGGAATTGTGCTGCCAACCCAAAGGCAGGTGGTTCAAATGTACCAGATACTTTACAGGAGAAAGACGGGCCGTCTTCTCAATGCTATCTGTAGCCTCTGAAAACCTACTGTGGAGGGTCAACCAGGAGTTGGTCCCACGGCAATGACTTTGACTTTTGACTGAGTCCGCAGAGCAAATAAAAACGAGAGTGTGATGGTGAAACATGAAAGGAGAAGTCAGAGAAAATCAGCGCTAAGGCTCCACTGGCTACAAAGTTTCCACCGGCTACTTACATTCTCTCTAGTTTGTGTAACTATCAAAGTTGAATGCTTCTATTTCCCCACCCCCAAAATTGTATGCTTTTCTAGATACTGTTAGATCTGATTTAATGGTTAGAACAACCAGTGAAGCAAACAGGACATAAATACTCACACTGTAGGTTGAAAAATCATCTCAAAAGTTACGCGACTTCTATAAACTATGTAGTTTAGGGCAAGTGATGTATGTAACCTTTGAAATGATCTAAGGGCTTGAAGCTGAGGTAATCAGGCTCTCCTCTTGAACCACAAGAGTGGCACAGCTTGTGGGTTAGTGGCTCAATTCCCTACCACCTCCACCATCAGAGGACAGCAATGTGTCCTAACTACTCAAAGACGGGATGCTGTAAGGCCCAAAGAGGTCAATAAAGTAAAATAGTTAAGTGTTGTTTGCAAGTAATTACTAGCTCATAACAGCCCTATATGTTAAAAAATTAAACAACAAACAAACAAACAAAAATCCAAAATCTAACAGACTCACATTAGTTTCTTTACAGGAAAACAAAAGACAGTTCTTATCATAATTAGTAATGCTTTCTTCTTGAATAATTTCTTCTCAAATACGGAATATGTTAGCTTTGGAAATAATCTATAAAACTGTTTAGACTAGCAGTTTAAAGAATTTATCTTGTTAGCAAAAATAATCCTTTTACAAATAAAAGATAGGAATTACCATTAGCCATATTCTATACTATCATTAGTGTAAGTTTTAAAAATGAAAATGAGGGAAAAGAGTATAATTTGACCTATGAGAATGCAATAATATTAATTTTCAAAACTATCAAAAGGAAAATGACCTTCCAAATAACAATAGCACAGAGCAGTATTTGTTCTTCTCTCTCAGTAACATATATATTTTTCCATTAAAATAAAATAAAAAAGGGAGATTACTAATGTAAACACAAGAATCCTGCTGCCTGATTTTATTAAAATCCATTTTAAAACTATTGTTTCAAATTTTAAATATAAGATTCAATAATTTTTCTACCAATATTAGATCAAATATGCTCTATGCCTTCCATCAGGGAATCTGACTCTGTATTTAGTCACTATGGGTTGTACCCAACTTGATGATACTTAACAATATATCTACAATTGGAAAAGGACAGAAGTCCCCAAAACCTTCTGGACAAAGGACTATACAACCTACACTTTGAGCAATCTCGATTCTCTTTTGTAATAGAAAACCACATGTTGACACATAAAATCTTTAGAAGAAAGAAATAGAATACCTTGGAAGTCCTCAGAATTGGGCAACTTGACACCACATACAAAGTAATCTTTATGTTCATTCTGTGAATTTAACCAAAGGATGAAATTAATACATTCATACATATAATATACATTAACTCATTGCCAGTGAATTCATCCTGACTTAAAGTGACCTTGTAAGGCTGGACAGAATAGCTCGGGAGGGCTTCCTAGGCTGTAATCTTTATGGAAACAGACTGACATGTATTTTTTCCTGCAAAGTTGCTGGTGAACTCAAAACACGAACCTTTTAGTTTGTATCCAGATGCTTTAAATATTGTACCACAATAACATCTTCATGTATATACACATATCTTTCAAAGACATTTAAGAGCTATCTTGAAAAATTCAGTACTTCAGTGTTAACTCAGATGTTACTTTCCTGTACTCAAAGCATTATAATTGTTGAAACTAGGTGATGAGTACACAATAATTGATTTTACTACTTTCTTGCTCAGTTTCTATGCATGTAAATTTTTTATAATGTCATATTCAAGGGAAAAATCATGCAAAACTTTTATTAAGATTGTCTTTTCACCAATTTACAGCTAGTAATGAAAAACTTAAAAGGAATTTGTTAAGATTCTCTGAAGAGACCATAACCGCCATCCAAGCAGATATATGCACACCCATGTTCACCATGGCTTTGTTCACAAGGAGTTGGAAACAACCTAAGTGCCCATCAACAAATGAATGGATAGAGAAGCTGTGGTATAGTCACACAATGAAATACTATGCTGCATTGAAAAAACAGGGAACTCATGCAATATTATTCAAAATGGGTGACCCTGGAGGATGTTATGCTGAGTGAAATATCTCAGTAACAAAAGGACAAATACTGCATTGTACCACTGCTGTAGAATGGGACTGACATCAGGGTTGGGGTAAGACTGCGAAAAACTGGATAAATTATGTGTACCGCATTGAAACAGACGAGGGAGAGAACAGTTTAAAAGCGATATATGATAGGGTATTATGGTTATCACAAGAGTCCAGAATTAAGGTTGC